CGTTTAAATGTTTTGTAGTTCAGTCTGATAAATTTCGAAATGTTTGAAAGGTAAAAATGTGCTGATACATAAAGTAAATGAACAGTATTTATTTTGTTTCTGTACTCTAGCACATTGGACTTGAAATAAGAGAAGAATGTTAGAATTAAGTGTTTAATTAATTCAGATCACGGCCCAACCAATATGAAAATTTTGTGGTGGATACTGATTTTAGAGGGCTAAAGACCCTCTCTAATACAGGTGGATTTATTTTTATAGTGTAGATTTTAAGTTTATACTCTAGATCATTGTCTGTGATCAACACATTGTCGATTTTAACTGATATCAATATACAGTAGGTCAGCAGATATTATCGGCCAAACATTTTATCACACAGGCCCCAATTCAGATTAAATTTTTTACATTTGTAGTGACTGAATCACACAGCTGTCACAAATCTTTTTATATATGCTAATGCAGTACATATAGGACACTTTTATTCTGTATTTATTAAAAATCAAATTAAGTCCCAGCTGACTGGGACTTACTGAGACAGAGCCAAAACAACACTGTAGTAAGTTGTTAAGAAGGGTGGATGCACTGGTAAGTTAAGGAATAGTAAATGGCCTGGCAGACCGTAGAGGACCACAGCAGTGGATGAGGAATATTTTCAATCATAAATTAAAACCACTGAACAAATTAAGAATGCTATCCAGAATGACAGCATATATTATTCATAGTTAACTTTGAGGAGAAGAATATACCAACATGACCTCAGAGGGTTTAGCACAGGAAGCAAAACACTGGTAAGTCTCAAGTATAGTAAAGCTAGATTTTAGTTTGTTTTAAAGTGCACAAAATGAAATAATGAATTATATAGAAGAATCCTAACTGGTCACATCCAACCAAAAGCCACAAAATTCCTGAAAAAAAGCCTTACAGCAACTATCAACTCTAAAGCTTTTTTTTTCCGGGCAGAAAAGTGGAAGAGTGGAACTTTTCCATTACCTGACCTGAAACAGTAGAGCTATGTGTGGAAAAAGTCTGAGATTTAAATCTGGATCACTCAGTATTGATGTAAACTCTCAAATTAAAGCTGACATTCTCAATTTTAATCCCAGTCATTGATGATTTGCTGGAATAAAGAACAAAAACAGCAAAAATCACATCACTGTTAGGCCTTTCACCTGATCACACGTCAGCTGATTGCACTTATTTAAGCTGATCACAAGTATTTTCCACATTTGCTTTTACAATAATGTGTTAACCATGCATCACAACAAACGAATGAGAATTGGATCTGTTTTCATTTGTCTGGATAGAGGCAAATAAATGTAAATAAAAGAATGCAGAGTAACACCTTTAGAGGGCAGCAGTGAGTAATGCATGTTTATTTGAACCAGAGCTCTTTTTGTTGTAAGTTGGGAGCTACTAAGTATCAGAAGCTAGGAGGCAAGACAATTAGGCTTGTACTTTAATAGTTGTATACAATGAACATTAAGGTTGTTGTTCACAAATATTTAAATATTATAAAAATTGTTAATCATGGTTATTTATATGGCGAAGAAGCTAAAATTTCATGATTCATGATTGCGGCAGGCCTAATGACTGGCCAGCAGCTTATGGACTCTCCTTTTAAATGGGCAAAGCTGGTAGACATTGTACTGCACACTGAATCAAAACACTGAGACTTAGCTATAGTGCCATGCTTAAGCAAAGACAAGGATCTGGCTGCTGTCTCAATTACAGGGTGTGTGTTCCCTCAGACAGCCAGCACAGCCATGTGCTAAATCGCCAAGTCTAAGGTTAGGACTGTCCATATTTAGAAGGACAGCAGTTGGTGAGATTGTTTGTTTGTGGTTCGCCTGAAGGACAGTAAAGCAGCTGTTGACATCTGTGTGAGGAGAGCTGTTCAGGTCATTGGTGTTCTAATATTGTTTTAAGAACACAAATAGTGCAAGTGTTCAAGTGCTTTGTAGAATATGATCTACAGGCTTTATTAATGTGCTTAGAAGAACAAAGCATCCAGAGTGCTGTGCCTTATGTCAGTGTAGATCACTAGCTGTGACTAGCTGTTTGGAGGATTTTGTGAACATCATGTTAACCACATAGGCCACACACAGACATTGGGGTTGTTTATAGAGGAGAACAGTATCAGAGCTCCAAATAACGCCTCTAAAAATGTGAGTGTAAGTATGTTTTTGCCTCTGAATTAGGGCTGTGCAGTATATTGTTTGTTCAATGTCAGACCATTCTACATTTATTTCTTTTCCAGTGTGAATAGCCATTAAGTACAAGTTTTAATACTTCAGGAGATATATTATTGAAGAGATTAGATATAAGATAATCCACATTCTTAAGGATGAGGAAAGTCAAAGGAAAATAAGTGGAGGGGGAAAAAGGAGTTTTCATACCTGGGAATTTCTGAATCTGAAAGAATCCACAGGTGTTTCTGTGCATCCTTCCACTGTGAGAGCTAACTCAATGCTATGAGTCTGAAAGGATGTGCAGCTGTCAAGAAGACCTTACCAAGAAAAGGAAACAAAAAATAAGAAAAATTTGCAAATCAAACGAAGAAGCTGCTGGTGTTCTCAGAATAATGGAACCATTCCAGATCCCAGACCCTAAGGGCAATAGTTGTCTGGTGAGGGTGGACAACATGAACAGGCTACGCTACCCTACACTGACCACTTGTGATATTTTACTTCTGGTATTTTCACATAAATTTGCTGTATTGATTTAAAAAAAACAGTAATGTAGTGGGACCACCAGACCACTGAGTAACACAAACATGAACCCCACACAAGGGTTAAAAGGCCCTAAATATTCCATGTTGTTGTGCACTGCCTGACTGGAGTATTCTATCAGCCTTAGTCTCAAGCTTTTGTTTAAAGCAGTGACTGTTTGTTTGTGTCGTTGGTTTGAGCACAAGCTATGCAGAAATTCTGTTCCAAGACCAAAGCCTCAACTGCAGTTTGTAACTTCCCAGCTTCAGTTATCGTTATGCAGTACTGTTATTTTATGTAGTTTGGCCTCTAGGTTGTTAAACATGCTGTGAAATAGCTCTGAGTTTTATGAGCAGCTGAATTTATAGCTGTGTTGACTTTACATGCGTAACCCTTGGTAGTCTGAAAGTCCTCTCTTTTTTGTTGAATATTTGTAGGCTGAAGGGTGTTTATTGCCTGAGATGAACTGGGTAGTAATGCCACTTGCAGCTATAGAGCATATTAATCAGAGATTTCAGGCCACATATGATCATATTGTGAGGTGTTGTGCTTGAGTTGTTGTTGATACAGCACTGTGCAAAAGTTTTAGGCACCTAAGCAAACTGTTTTGCTTGTAAAACACTATAAAACATAAAAATAAATTCGAGCAAAGCTTAAATCCAGTAAAAAGTAACTAGAATTTTTTTGTTTTCAAAAAAGTAATTGAGCTGGTTAGAAGGTTTCTCTTCAGTGCGCCCAGCCATCATATGTATTTGTTAAATTCCATTACCAGCACATATGTTTTAAAATAATTAAGTATTTATTGAGCCAAACCAAGTATTGGTCATTAATTCTGGACTGCCTTGAGGACCAGTGCAGAAATTATTAAACAAATACTCTGACATACAGAAATGACTGCCTATGGTATTAATGCTATTTGTATTTATTCTAATAGTAAAGTGGAGTAATGTCTGCTGTAGTCTTGCAAGCCAGATGTCTGCCTATCATCAGAGAGTCTGGTGTGTTTTCTTGTTCAGTGTGTTGTGCAGCTACTTGCAACAGTGCATTCCAGACTAATAAAACCCAGTCAGAATGGACCTGACAAAGTCCTGATAGTGGTGGCCAGCTTACATGTACGTGTGAGTGAGGCATCTGAGACTGAGACTGTTAATCGTAATGTTGCTTTCAGTTTGGTGCTCTCACATTCGGTAGGTGGAGGTGTTTATCAACCAGATTATTCACAGATGACCCAGTAAACTACAGACTATTCTAACATACAAATGATAGACAAGAATCCTGTAGACAACTCCTACAGGAGAAGTTCCCCCATCATTCAGTACCATCACTGAATAAGAACATAAAAAAAAAAAAAAATCATTAACACAGTTTTGGTGTTGTACTGTAGCAATTTTGAAAAGTCTTGTTTTATTTACGCCATTGGAAAATGTCACCTGGCCTCAAAATGACGATATCCTGGCGAGTCATAATTTTTACATCATTGCCTGTAAATTATCACAATTATTTAAGCTGATCACATTTATTTTCTACAGTTTTTAGCTTTCACATTCATTGGATTGGGGCTAATACATAAATGTAAAAGAAAGCAGAAAAAGCATTTATTGAGACACGTGATGACTCATCATATGTAAAAAAAAATATATATATATATATATATATATATATATATATATATATATAAAGCAGTGAAATAATGTTTGTTTATTTGAGCTTGAGTTGTCTATCATCAGTTGGGAGCCACTTAGGACTAGGAAGCGAGAATTTAATTTGCAACTAATCTTTAGCTAAAAATGTCCTTATCATGACAGGCCTACCTATACAGTCACCATTTTGGAGATAAACTGTTTTATTACAACAGCAGTTATAGTTAACATAGCAACATTTCATTTAAATCTTGATTTTTATTGTTTTTTTTTAATCCATGTTAACTGTTTTACTTACCAGAATCAACCTGCTTTAGTCTGCATTTATCAGCAGCCCAAAAGAATCAACTGTTACAAAATGTATCAGCGCTCCAGAGATTTACAAAGTCCGTCTCAAATTACCGTCTTTTCTAAGACATATGGCGAGGGACAGAGTCTAAAGACACTTGAGCATGAGGAATAGATAGAAGATGGCAGCTGGTGAGATGAACTGCCTCTCTAACCATGTCCATCTCCTCCGCTTTACTCCTTCTTGACTTCTCAAAACAACATTTGGTGTTTATCTTTTTCTTTCTGGCTCTTTTTTCCTCTTTTTGGTCGTTGGCTTTCTGGGTTTGGTGCTGTTGTATTGAGTTATGTGTTTGTGTTCCCACAGTGTGCCAGTGTTTTGCGGTGCTGGAGGATGGCGCATTAGCACATAACTTACAGGAGCAGGAAAGTAAGGCCTGTGACTCACTCTCTTCCACACTTACTCTGTCTGCTCAAACACTCTCTGCTTGTTTCATCTCTCCAGTTACAGTCATGACTATCAGTGCTCTGAAGAAAAGGGCCAATGGAAAACCACATTTACCACAAGTGTTTTTGAGTAAGAGTGTGATGTAGCATGTAGTCAACACTAGTAAAGTTTCAAAACCTGATTCACTCTCCAGTCTGTTCAGCCCATATATGGAAACTAAGCTGCAAAAACAACCTGTTTCAAATTGCTGTCACGTGAACCAATGCATTCACATATGTTTACCAATTCACTGCAGGTTTGCCCCTTCCATTCACGCTGAAGTTATAAAGACTGTTTTACACTGGACTACTTTTTGAATGAAGCTCAATACAGGGCATCCAATCAGAGTAGAAATCAGAATAGAGAGCTTGGAAAATGGCATGTAAAATGAATTCTGACTGTTTTATACATAAAACCACACAAACAGGGCATTTCGGGTATGAAAAATGTACGATATGGTTATATTGTCAAAATAATCATTAACGCAATTCATAATGTTTTCAGTGATCACTGTGCATTGCGTCATGTTTACACCAGTTCTTTTACTATTATAATCCATTTTGAGGCATACAAAGCGCTGGTATCAGTGAAATGGTTCTCACAGCCTGTGTAAATCTAAAAACATGAAAATGTTTGTGTCTGGTGATATAACAAAGACATAATTGCTAGATCTTTTCCCCTAGTTAGACCAAACAGCATGCAGTCATAGCATAGACATGTTGACCTTTGCGGCTGCATAGCAAAAGTCGCATATATCTGCACAGTACCCACAAAGCTTTTGAGAGAACTGAGCTCATGTCGTACCAGATCAGTTCACTTATCTGAGCTCAGTGAAGTTAGAACCAGCCATTTTGGCTGAAAGATTCTTTGCTAAACGTCCAGACTGGTCACTTCCTGTAGGCCTTCAGTCCAAACAGGCTATATAAGGTAACTGAAGTCCACTCCATTTCCAAGACTCTTTATTACACTTAGATATGCATTCTTTTATGCTGATTAGTAGGTTTGATTTTCTGATCATAAAAAGAGGATTTTGATCGTGAAATGAAATATTTGGAAAAAATGTGCTAATAGAGCCAGCATGAAGTGCAACGATGTGAACTATGTTCTTGAATTGTTTTTATACCAATTAATTTAGGAATTTCTTTAATTATTAAATAAATATTTGCAACGTTTTTGTCTTCTGTTTTATATATACATTACCACATAAACCTGCTTCACAGTACACGAACAAACTGCATAAGAAAAACCTTTAGAGGAGAAAATAATGGAAATTCCAAAGGTTTTTTTTTTATTTCTGCATAAACAAAGTCATTTATAGTGGTTTGACATGAAAAATGTATTGTAGAGAAACTTGAAGATGGTGATTGCAATGGCAATTGCTGTAAAACACAATCTGCATGTACTTTAAAAATTCTTGTAAAACAATGACTTGGGCATATATATATATATATATTTATATATATATATATATATATATATATATATATTATACACATTTAGTCATGCAGCTTTTAGAGGCATTAAATTAGTCTGGTAGTCTGGTTCCTGTCACTACCACTGAGATCAGTTCTGACTTCAAACTACTCTGAATGGCTTTGTTTGCATCTTAACCATTTAAGTCTGCAGAAATTTTGAAAAATCTGTGGAAATCTCCTTAAAGGTAGTAATCAGGTAAACAAGATAAAAAATTAATTCATATCTACTGCATGTCCATCCATCCCTAGTATGTATTCAGTTATGTTCTATATTAATTATGTATATTAAACAATTAAACTTAATATTTTTAAAATTGTTAACTGTTAAATTGTTAAACTAATATATTGTCCACGAATGTTTGTAATAAGTAATAAGCATAATACAGATTAAAAAAAAATGCTGATCTGTGATGTTACAGTTGAACAGTACTACAGCTCAAATGTGCAGAGGAGTCAGCTGGTTCAGAATGACATCCGTGTAGCCAAGAGGCTGCAAGACGAGGAACAGCTAAGAGCCCATGTGCTCCATCGCCAGGCTACGCAGCAGTTGTAAGAATACATGTCGTTCTCTGCAAAATCACCTCTCGAAACCACTCGTTAATTGTTTGTGGTCACTCCATTAGAGAATAGGACATGCTGTCAAAGGCATTAAAGCATTGTATTTGAAATTATTCACTGGATGTACTGTACCTTTGTAACACACAAGACTTTACCCAAATTAGCCATCTCTAAAACTGACCTAGGTAAAAATGTAATCCAGAAAACCTTTACTGTGTGAAAAGCATTGATTTTGTTTCTTAAATGCAGGGAAGAGCAGGATTCAGAATATGCCCGCAGGATTCAGGAGGAGCTCCAGCGATGTGCAGAAGAAGCTCGTAGGAGGGAGGAAGAGGATGAGGTATTTCAGTGTCTTAACTTTTTCCATGGCTCCTGATTCACACTCTTAAATACTATTTGATCTGGGTAGTTTCACCAGGGGAGGTGGTGTAATGTAAATTGTAAGAGAATTGACTGCTTTATAGGATAAGTTATCTATATAAGTTCCTCTAGTGACTGCAGATAGCCTGGGTTGATGCATCATACCCTGGATGGGCGCTACACTCAATTATAATGGCAACACACCACACAGCAGTATCTTTTAGAGCATTTTGTTATTCCGTTAGCATAAGGTCAGTTTGAACTGGACTACTATTAATGAGAGCCCTCTGGGTTCAACCAATTACAGAAGGTAATTCACTCTGGATTTATTACAGTTGAACAGTACAAACTACACATACTGGATTAAAATCACGGATCTCATCAGCAATCTTAAAAAAAGGAGCTCCCAGGGAAAAATAATTCAGCTTGAATAGTGTTTTACATGCTTACCTTGTAGATCCATAATTAATGAGCACCAGTGAGTTGATGTACGCAAATAGCCAGAAATCTGTGCCACTGCAATTGTAGTGCTGGAAAAGGTCACCAGAGACAACAGGCACTCCCTTCAAATGGCAGGCCAAACATTTACAGCAGTTGACTCCAGATATGCTCGGCTGCACAGAAAGATCTATGGATAGACCAACACGTTATGCTTCATTTGTAGTTTTTTTAGACTAAAATGAATTGCACTGTTTCACTTGCATTGTTTGATCAAAAGATGTGTATTTTTTTCTGTCTTTTTGCTTCATTAATTTATGGTGGCTGTGGTGGCTGAGCTGAGGGAACACTAAATTGTGTGGTTGTGTTGTTTTTTTTTCCCCCTCATTTTTTCACATTCCAGTCCATGCAGTCAATAATGGAAACTACGCTGCAGAAACAGCCTGTTTTGAATTTACATACATGTGTACATATCTGGCATTCAGCCTACAGCAATTTAGCTCCACCCATTCACACTGAAGTTATAGGGAGTGTTTCAGCCTGCTCTGCTTTTTGAATAAGGCACAACACAGTGCAGCCTATCAGAACAGAGCTCATTTACATATGTCAGTCTCAAAGGGACAGTAACCAAAACCGCCTGCTGTATTCTAAGGGATAAAGAGAGGCTGGAAAATTGTCATGCAAAAATGAATTATGACTGTTTGGTACATAAAACCACACAAACACTGTAAGTTGAAAAATACAAATACAAGAACAATGTAGGATATGGGCCCATTTGAGAGTTATGGACCCGTGTCCTACACACAGTCAATCAAATGTGAAATTTTTTCAGCAGCAGAGCCTGTTTTATATCTGGAGAGAAACAAAGAGTGCAATCAGTGGTGGCTGGCACTAAACGTGATTTTTTTTTCCCCCCCAGGGATGCTTTGCTGCACTAAGAGCTAACTGACTTGAGATCATTCAAAACAGTGCAGCTTCTGATTAGGGAACCTAACTATAGCCTGTACAATGATGCCTGATGAAGACTGACACCAAAACATAATCTTCGCTTCAGCTTTTCATTTTCCTGTCTAAGACTGAAGTGTTTTTGCTGTCTTTCTTCACTTGAATGTGCAAAGGGAAGGAAAGCATTCATTTTCATCAACTTAAAGTGAGGAAACAGCCATGGGTGTGTCCTAGATGTGTCTGGACTAGAATATAGGCAGATATACTTCTCTGCGCTTCACATCAAACCAAACATACTGTAAGTCAGACTGTAGTTCCAGAACCAAAGCAGATGCAGATTTTTATTTCTCTGCATTTGTGATTCTATTTAAGCAACGCTCTTCTTTCCATGGCCTTTTCACACAAGTAAAACTATTTTATTTTTCAGCTTTTCATTTTTTTTTACTTCAAATGATGGTATCCTCAAGGGTGACCACTGATTCTCCTCGCATAAATAATGTCAGTGTTAAGACATAAGTCATTCAGAGTGGTTTGATGTTAAATGCTCCAAATTGAAAAGTCCACATTGTTCACAGTGGTGGTGATAGGAACCAGCTGTTTTCAGATTTACTGCTATTTTACCATTACCAGCAATTATACTATCTTACAGAAAATTGTTACGTAAGACGGATTTATGCTACCCAATGCCCGAGACAAGGCTTTCGTAGTTTTGTACAAAGGTTTTGGCCTAAAATGCACCCCCCCTCTCTTTTGGATAGTAAATAAAAATCTATATTTGTTCTCACAACATGCACCACAACCCTATAACTGCCACTGTAAAGAAAAGTCAATACGTTTCTCTACGGTACAGTATTTCACATCAAACTACTCTTAATGTTTGAATCTCAACAATTGAATTATACAGAATCTTTTCAGAAGTCTGTGACCTCCTTCAGACACATCTATGAGAAAAGTAAGCTCTGTTTCAGCTATAAAAATAAAGGTGGTCAGTGTTTGCTACCATAGACATTTGTGTCTTGGTCTTGGGGAGTCTTGCCTTGGAAGGGATGCAGATCTTCATGGAGTTGGCTTGGTTAGCAAGCACTAAGTTGTTGGCTGCCATCTCTATGCCATCTGCTTCCACAAAGGACAGATGAGATTTCAGAGATTAGAGTGAATTTTGATTTGTTAATTAAGAATAAGTTATGAAACTTGTCTCTGTGGCTTCCAGCCCTTCAGGTGTTTTCTTTTCTTTTATTTAAGACTGAATCTCAAAAGGCTCCCTACTGTGCACTGCATAGATGTTAAATAACGGGTTCCGCACCCAAATAATGCATTATATGAGCAACAGAGAGTCATTTGGGATTCAGCTATAGACCGCACAGCTCCCTCTTTGGATATACGTTGAACTATTTGGCTGTAGAAGTCAAAGTTTCATTACTTATGCCCTGCCCATTCTTGTTAGTTATAAGAAGTGTTTGAGTCTCAACTAGGCAGTCAATCAGAGCAGAGTTAGCACAGTAACAGCATGTTAAATTGAAGGGGATATAAAAAAAGTTTTGGTTATGGTTCAGAAAACCACACAAAGGTCATATGTGGTCTCCAGAGTGAAAAAATAAAAGAAAATAAAAGAAAAAGAAAAATTCAGGAAGTAGTCCTTCAAGTCTAAATGTTTTCTGTCTTGTAATGACCTGTTAGTCTAAGTGAGGTTTGACGGAGTGGATTTTGCAACAACACTATTATGAAAACTCAACATTTAACGCCAACAGGCATGATCAAGTAAGTACGTGTGGGCAGAATTCTGTGCTGTGTGTTATTTTACAGCATTTTTATCGGACTGTTTATATGTTTTGCCACTGATGGGCCTCTTTCTTCCACTGTATTAATTATAGATATTTACAACCCTGCTGTCTTCTGTTAATTAAAGCTCCAGTGCCACCTGGCTGTGTCATCTAAATACCATCTCTCCATGCTCCTGTGCCTGCTGCCCTTTCAGGCTGGGACCGGAGTAGACAGGAACATTGCAGCTTCAGCAAATTATGCTCACCCAGCCAGGCTAACTGTTTAAAACATTAAACCATCTTTCATTAGAAGCGCTCCTTGATGAAGGTTGATTTGGCTTGTGGTGCCTCTGAGCTGTGAGTCAGACCTCTTGAGTCTGTGCCCATCCCCAGTGTGCGGTAAAGGCTCCCCTGGGTATTAATGGCTTTAAGATTGTCTTTGTTGATGTGCTTTGTTCTACATTTACAGTGCAGTGTTAACGGGCACTTTGAGAATGAGGGCTAGGCACACTGGGGCACAGCCCAAAAGTAAAGCAGCTCCTCTAGCGTATCTCAGCACTTTTTTTTAGGCCGGATGACGAGATTGGCCAACTCACCGCTTTCTCTCCTCCAGTTTTCCATTGTGTTGGCCCACACAGACCCTGCTGCTGTAGTAAACAGGCCAGGCTCCCCAAAGTGAGGCCGGCCTTGTTTGGAAAGTAAACACTTATAAAAGATGGTACCTCAAGGGTTCTTTAGTAAAAGTCATGGTTCTGTTTAGAACCAGAAATTCTGTATAAAATCATTTCATGATTCAATCCTTCTTTGCTCGGTGGAATGGTTCTTCAGATTGGTGAAGAATGTGTGGTATTTGGTTCTGTATAGCACCAAAAAGAGTTCTTCTGTTGTTACAAGCTCAACATTCTGTAAGCAGAACCCTTTTTGGTGCTTCTAAACCATCTTATTTAGTGAGTCCTGCCATTTTTGTCCACATCCATTCTACTCACTTTTACTCAGAGGCTTGCGTGGATGCATCTCCGAACTTTCTGGGCATGGAGAGGGTTACGCACTGCCAGGCACAATTGTCAATTGTCAATGGTGAGACCACCATCCATTTATTTAATTTGCAGCCAAAACAGCCATTACAGTACAAGTTATTCATTTCTCAGTGTCTGGGAAAAGAGCAGAATTTACTGTGTTCAGTTTTTACCTCTTTTCAGTAGTCTTGCTATCAAATTATCAAAGATCTGCAGGGATATTTTTCCACATCTCCAAAGTTCAGTCTTAAAAGTTGGTTGCATTTTCTGCTTCTCACAATCCAAGTAATCCCAAACACGTTCAGTGATGTTGGGCTCTGGGCTCAGGGGTGGTCAGTCCATTGTTCTGGGAACACCAGCAGCTTCTTTGTTCGATTTACACCTTGCTTTCTTCCTTCATCTGTTTCCTTTTCTCTTCTCGCAGTGGAAGGATGGATATAAACACCTGTAGATTTTTTTCAGATCTGAAGCAATAGTGAAGCTTGATGTTCTCCAATCTCTCATGCAGTACCGTTTGTCTGATGGTGACAGTTCTGGTGATCTGCCAGGTCTCACATGGTTATTAGGAGTCTCATTTACTTTTAAGAATTTTTAGAATAATTTTTGAACTTCCGTCTTTGGAGCTCCTGTTTTAATAAATAACTTATTCCCAATGGCTGTTTTGACTGGAAATTAGAGGTGGATGACATGCCAGAAATGTGGACATCTGATAAATTGGAAGAGACAAAGTAGTACCAGCCCTACTGGAAGTTAAATAAATGTAGGGAGGTCTATGACTTTTGTGTAGTACTGTATATTGAGGGTTCAGAATCAGTTCTGAATGTGTTGTACGGTATAATGTAATGTAAAAGTGGCTCATATAGATTAACTTTGTGTTGTTCAGAGCAATTTAGTATTTTATTTTATTGTATTTATTTCTAAGTATAAAAGCCAGACTGGTAAAGATAGAGATTTTATTTGGAACTATTAATTAGTGAACTTTTATCAGGTAAATTGCATGTTGATTTCTTAGTCATATAGTAATTTATTAAGAAATCACATGCAGGCATAATGCCTGGTTGGTGTCCTTTTTATGTATGTACCTCTCTGCTTAGTTGCTGTCAGTCTAAAGGTCTCTGCAGAGGCAGAGCTCTTTCTTCTGTTCTACTATACTGCCATCTTGTGGACATATGCTGTATAGTTTCAGTGCTTGGTTGCACCATATCCTTTCATGCGTAGCTTTATATTGTTTCTGGACCACATTTTACACGTCTCATCAAAATAAGTGTTTTCAGAAACGCTTTCGAAAAAAATTCCTAGAAAATTGAATGTTGAAATGATATGATGTTTTCACTTCCCTTTTCCCCTCCCACGCAAAAAAAGGGAGGACTCCACCTACAGGACAAAGAGAAAGTCTTCCCCAGGCCCCCCCATGTGTTAAATAAGTTAACACATCCTCTGCAGAGACACACTTTTGCACATCTTGGTGCAAAGTTATTATTTATTTGCAGAATTCAACAGGGAAGAAAAGACGTGGCATGTGCAAAAGTTATGGCACATTTTATATTTTGTCTTTTCTCAATATGTTAAACACAGCAAATACATAGAAATTGTGCACTAAATTGTGTTTTTAAAAAAGCCATTTTTAAGTGTGTTCTCTGTAGAGAATGTGTTAATTTTCACTTAGAAAATCACCAAATCGTGTCATTTGATCAAGTGTGTTTTAAACTTTCGCATTTCTGTCCATGCAGATACATAAACATTTATAAAATGTACAAACTGGGGATAAATCTGCTTGGATTAGCATTACACAAAAATGCCACACGTATCTGTAGTGGGTTAAAAATTCGGTAAAATGAATAAAACGCAGACGTTCTAGTGCAGTAGCCCATCGTCACCTAAACATTCTGCCCAAAAATTGCATCGTCACATATTGGTTTGAAATCTTAATCTAAACATCTGTCCAATGCTGATCCTTTTTTTAAGCAGTTATATGCTGATGCCAATATGAGTCCAGTTTCATTGTGCATGCTTCCCTTTTAATAGCTGTCGGTTTTTGTCTCATGTCTCCACCATGTCGCTGTGTACTTTTCTGATCTTTTGATTTCAAAAGAGGTTTGATTGAATTCCAGGAAATTAAGTAACAGCAAAACTTCACAGCATTTTTATTTTTTTTGGGGCCTGCGTTTCAATTTTGGCCAGATTTTTACTGTAAATGTAAAAATATAATGGAAACTTGGTGGAAAGTCCTAGTCATTCAGTTCAGTGTCTCACCTCCCTCGTACATTGCCCACTATGGTGGTACAAGGCCCATTTAGCAATGCATTTGGCGTTTAGAAGTCTCAGCAAGGTGGGCTTGAAATGCAAGACAAGCAAAGGCTTTGACCCTACCATATTCTCGAATGGAAATTCCGCTGCTGACGTCTGCTGCGTCTGACATTGTCTTATGTGGGGGGTGAGAAATGAGGTGTGCGCGTGTGGGTGAGTGTGTATTTTTTTTACAGTAGCTAACCACAAACGAAGCTAGATTTCTTCTCAGGCTTGACACCTTTCATCATTAGAAGACTATTTAAGGTAGTCTTTAAGGTAGTCTTGTGTATGTGTGTGTGTGTGTGTATATGTATGTGTGTGTGTATGTGTGTGTGTATATATATATATATATATATATATATATATATATATATATATATATATATATATATATATATATATATATATTAGAGAGAGAGAGAGAGAGATAGAATACTTTCACAGTAAATCAGTAAATATAATAATTAAAAACGTAAACAATGTGGATTTAAACATTACAAACTACTCACCAACAGTTATATTTATGTTTTACTCAGTATTTGCTACTTTACCTTTTTGTATTTTGTTTTATTCTGACTCTCTGAAAGATATTTTTATATTTATTTAATTTTTGGTTTTAAAACTCTGATTACCTAATTAATTGTCAAAATAATCATTAGATGACTTGATTGCTAATAATGTTGACAGTTGTAGTTGATAAATTTTGTGTTTAGTTAAATTACCCGAGTCCCCACTCACAAGGCACTGTTTCATTGTGTTGGTTTTTTAACACAGGAAATAGCAAAGCGAATCCAGGAAGAGGAAGAGTTGCTTGTGAGACAGCGGACAAGCTGCCAAAGGACAGAGAGAGCAGGTATAACTGCTGTTTTCTTCACTTCCCTTCGTTTAAATGCTATAATGTGCTGTCTGACAAAATTTCGTCATCTAGTTCTTGACACCATCAGTCAGACACCATGAGTCAGAAAGGCTTATGGGACAGGGATGCGTATGCCTGGTTGCCTAATAGGCCATTGTGACTTTTTGATGTGGCTCTGCAGTGTCTCCATCTTATCTCGCAATCAGATCGAGATCTGTGTGTGCGTGTTTAAGAGCACACATGGTGATATACACTGAATGACCAAAAACCCACACAGTGCTGGGATCAAAGCTCTCTTCCACGTGTGATGCCTCCACCTCTTCTTTATGCCTCTCTTCCATTCAGAAGCTCTGCTCTAAATTTAAATGGTACATTTGTTAGGGAAACTCAGGAGTACCATGTGTGGCATAATGTAGCCCAATTATTTAATCACCGCCCCCTCACACAGAAAACCACTAAGCAGGTTATGGCCTTATGGTCACATGTGTTCTTCACTCAAATGACTGCTCGTCATTCTGTCATCTGACTTTCCTATAATGGGGTCACTGATAAGTTCAGAAAAGTTCAGGGTTGCCTGTGAGGATGACTTGGCCCACCCCTCCAATAAATGAGATTAAACGCTTTTTTATCCTGTATGTAACTTATTACATTCTGTTTTAAAACTGTATTTTTAAGTGTTTTTGTAACAAAATATAGAATAATGTATTACATTTTTAACATGTTTGTTTGTTTGTTTGTTTGTTTGTTTATTTATTTATTTATTTATTTATTTATTTATTTATTTATTTGTATACCGTTTTGTCTTTTTTGGCCCTCTGCCCACCACTAACACTGCACTACACCCAGAAGTTTGCGCACTCCTGATCAAATTCCAGTTAACTGAATTGAATTTATGTTAATTGACATAGTTTCACAAGCCTGTTTATGAGCATTATTTATAATTATTGTTTTCTCTTGAGCATTGTAAGCACAAAAGTCTAGTATGACTTAGAAACACAGACCCCGCTGACCCTTTAAGACCGGTTTTAATTTTCACTTTTTAGTGGCAGCTGCCCATTAAAGCATTTATAGCAGGATTAAGTTAGTTCTTATGCTGTGCATATTTTTAGCTTCTGCCAAAAAGGCAAACTTTCTCTTGCTGTCATGATGTTTTTTAGCTGACATTTGTATGTCCCGCTTTCTTCTGCTTCAGTTGTTAACCCTGCCCAATTTCACTGAACTGCCCTTTATAGCAGAAGTTGGTCTTTTAGTGTGACATTTTGTAGACACTTGCACCCGGTTTGAAGTTCTGTCGGTCAGTGAACGCAGTTTTTATGCATGTCTCTTTTTTTCCATGCATTTTGATGACAAATGTGATGAATTGCTAACTGCCAATTGCCTGTTTTCACTGTGTTTACCTATGTGTTGCTTGGCACCAGTGACTGCATTTGCTTAACCACTAACCTACTCCTCCACCCTCCTGCCTTATGTTTGCATGTTTTTGCTCGGCAAAAGAGAACACCGCCATCCCTGCCCTTCGAAATGCACTTCAGCCTGCTCGCCCCCTCGTCAGCAAGGAGGAAGAGCAAGAGCGGTATGACTGGGCTTCACACAGCAGGCCCTACTCTCCCTCTCCCTCCACCTCAGACTATGAGGAGGACCACTGTGAACGCAGGAGGCATGTTTCACAGGACTACGGTGACGGTTTCAAACAGAGACATCGACCCGGCCATGAGCCACCTCGCAGAAACCATTTGGGACAGGAATGCAGGAGCTCTGTAAGTCAAAGCAGCCATTTAGGAGAGGAACGCAGGAGCTCTGTAAGTCAGAGCAGCCACTTAGAAGAGGACCGCAAGAGCTCTATAAGCCAAAGTAGCAGGACTGGCCGCTTTCAGGGTGGATGGGGCGATGTTGTCCAGCTCATAAAGAACGACTTGAGCGAACAGGGCTACCTGAGCTGCAGTTCCGATGATGAACTCTTCGAACCTGTCTACAGGCTCGAGAGAATCTTCAGTCAGCGCAGGCAGGCCCCAGATCAGCATGGTGGCCGGGATAAGAGACTGAGCCGCCATAGTAGTGTGAGGGAGGCTACCAGCAGAATGTGGCAAGGCGAACGTGTGAGCAGGACACAAAGTTTTAGGGGCTCAGAATACAGCGACAGCAGAAGTTTGAGGTCAGAGGAAAGGCAAGTAAGGCGCTATAACAGTAGCTGTAGCGACTCCAGGCCAGGAGATGGCCAAAGACATGTCCACTTTCAGGATGACGCAAGGGGCCATAACAGGTATAACAAGAGTCAAAGAGCGTTTGAAGGCAGCCATGGTGGCACCAGAGAGCGAGAATTAGGGAGCTGCACTGTGGGTTCCTATCCGGTAAGGGGTTATAGTCAAGTGTACCTCACCACTGCTAATGGTGTCCAGTATCAAACTCATCCTCAGGGTTTTCAGCAGAGCGCTCAGGTGAGGAATATCCGCCGCGGAGATTTCCAGGTAGGCAGTAGAGCAAGATATAACTATGGTGAGTTCCAGCAGGTTAATGGAGTCAAGTACTTTGAAAACTCCCCATCACAGGAGTCTAGAGTAAGAGAGGAGGAGGAAGAGTGGGAAAGAGACAGCCGCAGGGTTCGAGGGGAGCACAGGCGAAGAGCACACTCCCTCAGGGAGGAGAGGGTATGGCAGGCTACGGAAATCAAACATTACCATGGGAACCGTAGGGAAAGACGGGTTTGGCAGGGTGAGGAGGAGAGCTCAAGTACTGAAGAGGAGGAGGAGGAGAGGGAAAGGAGGAGAGAGGAGAGAAGGGTGCGGAGACTCTCCCAGCGCAGCCTCAGTCTGGCCTGCAGAGGGCGCTCTCCCAGAGCAGGTAACAAAGTTCTGCCCCAGCTCCCCCCAATGTCCGATTGAGCCTGTGGTTCTGCAGTGATCTCTCTTCATCTGCTCATTCCTGTCAATCATCTCCAATCCAAAAGTTCCGCCCAAGTTCTTTCGCTTGCGAGCCCCTCTGCGTGTTTCGGGGATGGTTCTTGACTTTGATCTTCTATTAATTAGGCTTACGATTAGTTCCTGCTTGGCAAAATCTTTTTCTTGATGTTCTCTTCTCTCTGGATGGTCTCTTTTCTCTCCTTACAGATTCTGACATGAAATAGAAGTGTTTACTCTTTGACTTTCATCATTTTTGTTCACATCTCAGTGATCAAATACTTCCACCATTTTCCTTCGATTCATTATTCTCCCCTCCCTGTCTTTGTTTGCTCCTGTCTTGGTTATATTTGAAAAAGGCATTGTTCTGGATTTGTTAGTATGTCTCTGCATTGATTTGGTTTGAATTAAACAAGAAATTGTACCTTCATTACAGTTGTATGCAAAAGTTTGCATAACCCTCGTCATATTGAATGTTGTTTTGATTTTCTAATTGAAAATAAGTCAACACATCCTCTTTAGGGAACAAACTTAATTTTTTTTTTATCATTGCTTTTGCACAGGCCACGTTTAATGTTTGATTACTTTTTTTTAATATGGTAATTCAGCAAGTAAAAAACAATTCTGCATTAAAATGTGCAGAGGTTTGTTCTTTGTTCTCTGACATATTAACTTACTTTCACTTAGAAAGTCAACAAAACATGTAGGTCGACCAAGGTGCCCAAACTTTTGCATACTGACCAAAAAAAACACTTGAAAAGACTTATGTATACCAGCCCCACCAAGATCTCACAGTTTGTTTGTTTTTTGTCATCATTGTGGGCTAAAAAGCTTTAAAGGAGCTTTTCTTCATAACTTCATAAAATTGATAATATAATCAGTGACACTATTTGTTGTGCAGGGAAGAGCAATAAAAATAGAAATTTGTAGAAATTTGTGATCATTGTCTGCCTGAAATTTAGTGTTCTTCTGAGAAACAAGAACAGAGACATTCAGACTCAAGATTTTAGCTCTGTTTTAAATTTTCAAAAAAGGGAGTCAGTGCTTTATAATGAAATGATGTGACAAAACTACTTGTATTCAAAATAAGCAGATTTCCTCAGATATACAGAAATAAGAAAAAGAAGTAAAAAGTGCTCAAACTAATTTTTGATAGAACATTTGGTAGCACTGTGTGACTGAACTAGGCCTAGGCCATGATAAAATTTTCCTTTAATAAAAAATTGGCATTATGATTATCTTCACCCCCAAGGCCACCACAAAAAAAACACACAGTCCGTTTGGCACACTACTTCCTGCACGCTTCCAGTTATAGTGAAAACACTTATGCGATTTGCATGTTTGGAAATAATGTGACAAAATTGTGAGCACTTGCAGATACTGCATGGGTGGTTTGAATTGCCCTGAATTTGTGATCTCTGGAGGGACTGCTGTATCAAACAGGACAAATTTTAGAAGAAGAAACAAAGTGAACAGACCATACTAAAAACATACATTTGGTACTCTGTTCAGGACTTATTTGCTTTACTTTTTTAACTTAAAGAATTAGAAGACTTGACGTCATTTGTAAGTCTTTAAATTCCCACATTATTTTCATTTTGTTGGCATGACCTCATGCAGAATCCCCCTTATTATGTCTTAATTATGTCTTAGTGCAGCTGCTGGTGGTCTGTGGAAATCCCCCTGTTATCAGCTGTCGCTGAATTGTGTGTTACCCTCCCCCCACACAATGCCTTGTACTAACTAAGCTGACTTCTACACAGGGTCTGTGCTAAGGAGGGATGGAGCCTCTCTGGACCTGGGGGAGCTGGAGCAAGTCCTGTTGGATGAAGAATTGGCTCGCAGGCTTCAAGAACAGGAAGAGAAATTGCTTAGAGGCGTAAGAGCTCACAATAAGAATACTGTTACACAATCAAATGATTTCTCCACTTGCAAAACCATATAAGCATCGACTTTGTGCCCTGGTTTGATACGGTATGACGTAGTGATTTAACTTGTAAATCATGTGTAAAAGCCTGTGACCCATACATGTCTTTCTGTTTTATTTGTTATCTTCAGGTTCCTCAGTCAACCTCTCATATCCAGAGATCTTACCCGGAAGGAGATTTCAGAGTAGCACAGGTTGCTCAAGACGAGGTACGCATTCCTAAGATGAGCAATCCAGAGATAGGCTTATGCAGAGAAACAGTGACTTAGTGCAGACGTATTTTGTCATTAATCATCATCAGGATGTCTTTTTTTTTTCAGGAGATTGCTCGCTTCATGCAAAAGCAAGAGATAAGGGCAAAGCAGCAGTCTCAAGAGCTGGACGAGTGCGGAACAGGACGGGAGTACAGACAGATGACTAACGCGTATGATGATAGCGCTGACTATGAAAGACAGGTAGCAATGCCCTTCTGTAGCGTATCATACATCTGTTGCAGCTACAAAACATTCATGACATGGCCAAAAGTATGTGGACATCACATCCATACAAGCTTGTTAAACATTAAACACCTCTTGGGCATGAATATGAAGTTGGTGCCCCTTTGTTGCTTCAAATGCCTCCACTATTCTGGAAAGGTTTCTGCTAGATTTTGGAACATGGCTTCACCTTCATTTAGACACAAGAACGCAAGTGAAAGCATGCCCTGATGTTGGGTGATAATGTCCTTTGTAAGAGGACACTGTCATGCGGAAACAGGAAAGGACCTTCACTAAAACTTCTGCCTCAGATCTCCTTGAAGTTTCCTTTTCACGATAACCGCACTTACAGTTGACCAGGGCAGCTTAAGCAGGAATGAAATTTGATAAAGTGACTTGTTAGGAAGTGAAGTGTTGAAAGACACTGAGCTTTTCATTACAACCCATTCTACTGCTACCATTTGTTTATGGAGATTGCATGGCTGTGTGCTTAATTGTGTGGACCTGTTGGCAATAAGCGTGCCTGATCGAGACAGGGATTAAAATAAAAACTAGCTCAGCCAACCAAATTAACTGAATTTAATTTAGGTGACAAACAGAAACCAAAACAACCGCTCTGTACAAAGTTAACAGAAAAGACAGCAAAATGATGGTCAGTGTACGAAGCTGAAGTTGTCTTCTTATTCAAATTTTCCGTTTCACTTTAAATTGTGCAGCAGTTGGCCGACAGAATGTTACCGGCACACCGTTTAAGGTGAAACGGAAAATTTAAACATGAAGCTGGCAAGTAAATGTTATTTTCAGCTTTGTGGAAAATGTACAATCATTCAAATAGTTGAAATAGTTCAAATAGAGCTAAGTGTTTTCTTTAAGTACCATAAGGAAACGGTAAGTCCGCCTGGTAAGTTTTTCCGGTAAGACTGGAGTTTAGGTGCTGAGCAAGCATTGATGCTATTGATGCTTCGCTTGTTTCGAGCTTATGGAGGCGAACTTGAATTCTCTTAATTCAGTTGTCTTCCAAAATAAAATAAGCCAAGCAAAAATATAGTAACAGACATCTGAAAACATTGCTCTATATCAAATTTAGATTTAATGCAGTTCTGGCTCACCTACTCCAGGAAACTCCATTCACATGAAAAGTAACCAAATGCCAAACTTCACATTTCTGTTTTGGGTCTCAAGTCTTACAGAGTCATCAGGTGTAAGTCTTTTTTGATTTTGTTGAGTCTCACGTCTTCAAATTTGTGACTCGAGTCTGACATGAGTTGAAGTCTTATGACTTTAGTGCACACTTCTGTTTCATAGTTATTTCCTTAAGATGACCAATAGTTTACCCAAGCCTAGGAAACCATGTACAATTAAAAGGAGTTTATTCTCTGTTGTCTGCCTCTCTTATTGTCTCCTCTTCAGCTTTCGTTTTAAGTTAGGGCGGATAAAGTTGCAATATATACTATTATATTCCCAGATAAATGTTTATGGGCCTTATTGAAATTCCTTAATAGTTTGTGACACCGTGGTTATGTATAAGTACAAAATACACATACACAAGTCGTGCTCCTGTTGCAGGTGCAGAGAGACAGACTAGACTCGGAGGGACTTCTCTCTCCTACTGAGGAATGCTCCCCAGAATATCAACCCCCTAGCCCCATCGCCATGGCCACGTAAGTCATTGTCCTTCCTTTAGTTAGAACTGAATTTGCCTCCAGACACCACTCAACAAGCTACCCCTTTCATCTTAGGCAGCAGCACCAATATAGGAATATAGCAGAGGAACTAGATCCAACCTTTCACAGGAAGGAGAACCTGGCAAGACAGAATATTTCAGGTAGGAATTTTGTCATGTTCACTTCATATTTTCCTGTGCAGAAGTCAGAGACCAGCCGTTCATATATTTAATTAACTCTGCAATGACCAGTCCATTAATTTTGAGAAGACCAGAATCTTCTTTATTTGCAAGTTTTCTTCTTTTTTGTCTCTTTCCTTTTCTCAGTAATGGCCTCTTGACAGCTACACACCCTTTAAGGCCTATAGTGTTAAGTTGCTTCTCACAGTGGAAAGATGGACAGAAACACCTATGTATTTTTTCAGATCTGAAGTAAGAGTGGAGCTTGATTTTCTCCTCTCTCTCAAAACAGAAAGCTATTTATCTGATGGTGACTGTTTTGGTGGTCCACCAGGTCATGCATGGTTGTTAGGAGACCCTTATCTTTCTGTATCTTTTAACAACTTTCTGAAGTTTTGGAAATCCCTGTTCTGTTTTGTTGTGAATTAAATGACTGGTGGCTGGTCTCTGACTTTTGCACAGTTCTGTATATTGTTTATAGTAAATGAGTTGGTTTTTGTTTTTCCAGCGCCCTGCCAAATCCAAGACACTCCAGAAGCAGGTTCACTTGATCTCATGGGGGAACCTACATTTGTTCCACCTACGAAGCGGCACGGTGACAAGACTGTACGAGTTAAGTCCAAAGAAAAAAAGGAACACAGTAAACCAAAGGAAAACTGTAAACAGCAGTGATGTTGACGAGGTCAATGTCCCCCTACAGTGGTGTTGTTCATAGTAATACTTCACACAAACCCAGCACACTTCTGCCTACTTAAACAATAGATAACAAAGGCATGTTTCAGGGGTTTTCCAATCCTTTAGTTCCATTTTCTTTGGTAGATGTGGGGACAGTTGACCCTCAAACTATTAATGGAGTCAGCATGCCAAGGAGGCCCCAGTAATGCAAAGGAGGCACTCCACAGGGGCATAAATCTACACAAACGTCAACTTCCTTGTCAATGATATTCCCATGTACTTTTGTCTTAGTCATTTTTCGTTTCATTTTTATCTGTTCCTCTGAGCAGCTGGCAGCGATAGGGGGGCCTGGTGCCGCAGGGAATGCTTCAACTAGTACTGCTATCCATTTTAGTTTTGATTTCTGAGAAGCAAAAATAAGACCGTCTTTAATAGACAGCTGCTTTTTCTTGGCTCACTGGTGTTCTCAGAAAATCATTTTTCAGTTACTGAGAAGCATTTAACAGAATTCATAGGTTGCAGTAATCTCTCCCACTGAACCAGTTTTCTTATCATTTCCCCATGTACTTCCTGCCCACGTTGTTTAAGCAATTTTTCCTGTTATTCTTATATTACTTTTCCATCTCATGTACAGGAACCATGTCTTGCCACATTGTATAGTTTGTAAAAAAAAAAAAGGAAGCGTATGTTTCACTTGTATAATTCTTTGTTTTGCTGCGCTTATTTATGCTATAAAACTGAACAAAAGTACAAAGCAAAACTGTATTATTGTGATAAATAGAACATGTATGAAAAGGTTGCCCTCTACTTTTGACTGTAAGGATTATGGAGCCATTTGATTTTGAGGAATCATGAACATCTACAACAGGGCTTGTGTGTATAATAATATATGTCAATATACGTCAGATGTTTCAAAAATCGTAAAAACTCTACTTATTTTTGTGTGGTTAATTGTGTTTGCTCCAGTTTGACTCTAAAGAAAGATTTTCCCGTTTAAAAAGCAGTTATTGTTATAACGATACAAGTGGAGAAAATAAGCTTCATCAGAATTAATTTATAAGGTGCTTAAGTTATAGTTGTAAAAGCAAGGCTCTGTTTGAACGAGAGGGCTACAGTCACAGATTCTACCATAGCAACATACCAAGCGAGCAGCTGGGTATCAGTCTGCGCTACTGCGAATGATTCAAAGGGTCAAACTTGGTAATGCATTAAAGTAGAGGCATTAATAATGTAACACCTTGCAGCTCTATATATGTTTTATCTGTTTTATTTTTATGCTTAGTGAAAGTAGAATTTTGTTTCCTTCATTTATTGCTCAAAATGCGAAGTATTTTCTGTGACAGAAGCTGTGGGAAGCACCTCTTTAAAAGATTTGTCTCAAAATAAAACTTATATTCCTAGCATAGAGTGAAGCGGTAGCTTGGAAGCTGTAAAGTAGTAGCTTATTTTTATTTTGGTTACCACTAAAATTCACTTGGAATTTTGTACTTCGTGTGAAAACAAAAACTGTTCAGAAGTTTTAACAGATAACAATAATAAGGAAAAATTGTGTACTTCATAACTTCTGTAAAATGGTTAACATGATTTGTCATTTTATTTAACAGGGAAGTAGTATTGCACAAACAAGTTTGCTCACAAACTGTAGATTTTTACACTTTATAGCAACATCAGCATAGAGTATAAAAGGAAGCACTGCTTGTGTCAAAGTTCAACACTAAAACTGAAGAAATTGTAATGTCCCTGTAACAATAATCATTACCATGTACCAGCATGTTATCTCCCTGACCGCCTAAATTTAGTTTGTGATGCCAGGTTGCTGACCTTTTGATGAGCGACAAACATTGAGTGGACAGTTCCACCCTGGCCAGCTAACCTTCACTACAGGATTCTCTGGGTTTTTCCACGTGGTGTTGTTAGCTGCCTAGAGTTCCCCTAATTCTTTCTGGCCTGCAGGTCTGTGTTATTAGGATAAACAGTTAGTGGTTTATGTCCTTATGAACTGTGGGCAAAGATGAGATGTCAGATTCACTTATTACCTGGAATTTGCTGCTTCACGTGAAGACAAACTATACAAAGTGCATTTTCCCATGTAAAACCAGCAAGAGGAGAACTTTCTAAGCTAAACCAGTTCAGCACTGATTTAGAGCCAACAAAAGAATGTAACCTCGTGTGATTCACACTTGCTACTCATCCCTAAAGAATGTACACTTAAGAGCAGATGACTACAAATAGAAGATACGTGGAATTTTATCCTCACATGAGTCACACGTTCTTCAAACTATTTCAGATTTCAAAACACGCACAGGCTACTTCATGTGTAAACTCCCTGTGAGTCACTGGAAAGTCTAAATATGACAAAACTGCTGAGTATTATTCTTCGACATGCTGTCACAACATAGTGTCAGGGATAATATACCTTAACGGCCTAGGATGAGTCAGCTATATAATGTTTTGTAAGGTCAAAGGTACTCTCTTGCTTAACTCTTCTGAAATCCTTGCCACTCCTATGCTTCCCTATGGCCTAGAAAGGAAGTCCCTTCAGGGGAAACCCTGCAGAGAACACATGTGCTCCCACCATTTCTGCTTACAGGAAATTTAAACTTCCCTTCTGCTCTTCCACACACCAATACAATGCGATACATTTTCATATTTACAGTTTCTGTCATCAGTATTGTATTTACATTAGCAACACCAGCTTGTCTGTAATTGTTATATTAAAATACCTGTTGCATTTCATAAGAAAAGCTTACAAAATCACCATTGCAGAAATAAGAAACAGGCAATTGCTAATTCAGTGCCAGGAATTTTATGAGGTAAAAAAATAACCGTTTCTCAATCATCCTCCCCCTGAGCCAGTCTTAATCTCTCGAATGAGACATTTAAAATAGTGCCATTTGCAACAGGAAACTGGGGGAAGCCCACCAGGGTATTTCAAGAAGCCTGCGACCTGTAAATGTGACGCAGTAGATCGTAGGTGACACCCACTCCGATGCGAAGTGTCAGTAGTTGTGGTTCACATTCTACACTCCTACATGGCTGAGAAGCTAGTCTGTTTCTGGCTCTCACTTTGTGCACTTTACAACTATATGCAACAATGTAAACCTGTAGCGTTGTTCAAGTCTCTTATAAGCTTCCTTCTTCACTGATAAATGTAGGTGTTCTTGCACATTTGTTCTTGTTGCAGCAGTTTCAGCATCTGTAAAGTTTCCCATTCAAAACGTTTGTCCTTTCCAGGCCTTTTCTCATAAATAAAAATGCTGCTGCTCACGTCCAGTTTTGTTAGCAAGCCTTCTCACATGTTCTGGTAGTTTTGTCTTCATCCTATGGTCATCAAAATAGGCCAAAAGCCCAGACTGTGGAAAGAAACTGTCCGAAGTTTCTAACCCCCATCAATCCAACAGATAAATTGGGCATCATGGATTCGAAACAGCTTCAGCACCAGGAGCCTGCTCCCAATCAGTTGAGTATTAACAAACAATCTAGGCGTTATCCATGAAGCTCACAGTATGAGCTTGGAATCGGAGTCCTGCGTGCTGAGAGACTCGGAGCTTCCTCCTTGTTCCTGCTCGGGCTGGCGGAAGCTGCATGCATCATCATGCTCCATAATCATAACCCTCAGCTCTTCTGTGAACAGACCAGATAGGCAGAAATTAGCATGCTAGCTGACAGTAGAGGGTAAGACTAGAAGAATGATGTGAGTCATGGGTATTTTCTGAGTGCAAAGAGGCGTAAAATTATACTCAAGTGCGGGTGTGACAATAGAAGAGATGATGCTATGTTGCTTGATAGTGCCTAGGAGGAGGCAAAAGGTCATGGTTTACGGAAATCTACCTGGAGGAAGGGTTTCTGGCCGCAGGTCCTTGGTCTCGGTATTGGTCATGTTTTTTGCTCTTTGATAAGCAAACCCCAGGTATAAAATTACAAAACAGATGAGAACAAAAATGAATCCAGCGATTCCAGCTAGTAGCCAGAAAGTGTCATCTGCAAGAAATGAACAGAGAAGTGACGTTGCATACATATTTCAGTGTGTAGAAACGGTTTCTTTGGGTTACTGTGTTTCCTATCACTGTATAAAAGATGCGCAAACCTTTTTGCTTATTACATCGTTTGTGAGACAAACTGAGAAGTCTTAAAATTTTCATCTTTACATATAAAATAAACATGAGAAAATAGATCAGAAGATCAGTTTTAAAAGGTTAAAAATGCTTATTAAAAAGCCAGCATTGCATTACTATTGAAATAACCGAGTTTACGCTTACCTTTTTTCTCTATTTTCGTCTTTAAGGGTTCCACTGTGTTGTATTCTACAGCATAGAAAAGCGAACACTGCTAAATATACTCTACAGCTAAACTCGTACATTTTAACGCTACCATTCATTCTTGTGTGGTTACTTACAGTAGTATCTAATATTCTCTAACCTTTTTTATGTCAAAGTTTTCTTACCCAATGGTGTTATCAGAGCAGGGGCCAAAGTGGAGGCCTTTAGCTTGCACTCATTGTTAAGAGATGCATCACTTATGGACACAAGTTCCTGTCCTTCAGGACAACTGAAAACATGAGAGAATAATAATAATAATAATAGTTAAACAAGGTTCATCTCAGACATGAGTAAAATCGGTTTAGAGTCTATAAGGGCTACCTTGTTCTCCGAGGTTTGCATTTGCTGTGGATTTGGTCATTGAATGTTCCCTGGGGACATTTCCTGCAAGTCCCTGTAGAAAAGAAAAGCAAGAACATATCTCAGTGTCTTTAACACCAAACTATGTTTAATTGAGGGATTTTTCTCAAATCACATTCGCTTTAAGGAGACTCTTACGTTCTTCTGTTGGTTCCTCGCCTTTTTTGCACTCATCTACACAGTAAGAGCATTGTGAGTTTCCACAGCGGAGCCCAGCCTTGCAGCCACACACAGTGTCAGAACTGGGGGTGCAGTTTTTCACTACGACCCTCGGGTCTGGAGGAACATTTTTACAGTAAACACAGCTTTAGGTGTTGCAGAAGGTGATTAAGATAAGAGCTAATCACATTGTTTGCACATTAAAGGCTCTTGATTTTCAGGGAATTGTGTAAAATTATACGTACCTATGCACTGAGAGCATCTGTTACAGTAGGGCTTTTTAGGGTGGTTTAAAAAAGTGTCAGGATCACAAGGCTTACAAAGCTGATTACGGTCTTCTCCACAGTGCTTCACAAAGCGGTTCCCTGTAACCACACACAGTACGCTCATACTCATACAGTGCACATCTGTAGTACTGATTGATAAAGTTTACCTTTGAACACTAGTCTCTGAATGACTTAGTCTGTTTTGTTAATTTAAATGGCAAACCCTGAAGAGCATTTTAAATTCTGACAACTGTACTACTAACATTGTGAACTGTAAGCTCAACTGTCTTCAGGAATCCATATGCCCTCCTGAGAATCATTAAGCCAGCTGCAGTTGCTCACTGAGATACAACCGTTTACAACCAGTGTCATTCCTCTTTCTCACGTGCTCAGTTTGTTATAGATTGACAACCAAATTAAGACATACTATGAAAGTCTCTGACTTCCACTGAATTTAGAGTATAATACAAAGACATAGTACTCTGCCATAGCCATAGTGAACTAAGCGTATGTTCATATAATCATACCTAAAGCACTGCATGTTCATTATACAAATGTATTAATGTTAGATCTACCTGGATGGCACGCTTCACAGCAGATTCCATTATCAGACAGTCTCCAGTCAGCACAGCCATCCTCTGTTCTCACACTGGTGTGAAACAGACTGGCACTGAGCAGAGCATGACACAGACTCCACAGGATGAGGTGCATGTCTGCTTTAAGAGAAGAAAGCACATTAAAATCTGGACATTACTCACCGGATAAAATATCTCATTTCTCCATTGCCCCAGTGTCATATAACAGGATGACAACTGACAGAATCTCATTCATCATTTCTCGACAAAGTCAAATATGTTGCAAAATAAAGTTGATTACATTTAGTTTGCATTAATACCTGTCAAATATCATTCATTGTTTCATTCAACAAAAAAGTGGATAAAAGTCAGCTTCCAATGTAAATGCTTAGTTATAAAAGTACATGAAATCTTATAAAAGTACATTTAAGCCTTATTCTTAAAAATAATCTTGTGAAATATCAAAATAAAGTATTATCTTACTTGACTGAAGATGAAGCTCTACAGTGCAGCAGTGATATCAGATCAGACTTACAGAGTTCAACTGTGTCAGTCTTTTAAACCACAGAGCCGGGGGCGTGGCTTACTTGTGGTTGGCTGACGCTGAAGCAAAGTAGTGTTTTTTTTTGTTTTTTTTGTTTTTTTTTTTCTCTCGGCTGAAGCTTGATGTCTTGATAAGTAAAATCTCTTAATACTAGTGCATATATCTAATTTCTCATTCAAGAGGCCCATATTCTACATTTTTCTTGTACTTTATTTTTCTCCCTGAGGTCATCTTACAACATTTGTCAGTGTTTACATATCATTATATAATCAAAAGTTCAATTTTAGACAACAATTTTTCAAACTCTTTTTATCCCTCAGTACAGGTGGTTTTTGTTACTGGCCCTTTAAGACTGATATATGTAAATCGTATGCCTGTATTGAGTCTCTGTGGGTGAGCAAAATGACAATATTATTAATAAATTCTACCCCAGTCCCCTTTTCTGAGCATATCAGGGATATGATCAGTACATAAAGAACACTGAACCAACCTACAAAGAGTGCATAATTAGTCCTGTTTAATTGGATTTATATGTGAAATGCTGAATAAAAATCATTCTAATCCTAATTTTTGACAGCTATTTCGAAATGTAGCACTACTGTGGCTTATTTCCAACTTATTAAAAACTAAATATCATGATGTGGATTATGTATTATGAAAATGTCTTCATGCCTCGTTCACAAAGCAGTCTGGGCTGAAACATTCCTTATAACTTATTTGTGAGTGGGCGGAGCTAAACTGCTGAAAGCTGAATAGACAGATATAAGTACATGAGTTTGTTTTCATGACAAACACTGAATTCATATTCTATTGCAGACGATTTGGCTTGTTTCAAGCGTATTTCACTTGACAGAATCAGAAGTAAAAAATGTATAAAAATAAGTTGAATAATCTTAGAATATTCTTTCAGCAGTCTCAGAATGAGAAATATTAGGTATGTCAGCAAGATTTAAGATGATTTCACATGCCAAGATATCTGCAGTGCAACGTAACACTTTTCACCACTGTACCCTCTGTTACGCACGTTTCAGTAAGCAGATTTTCCAGTCTGATAAGCGAAAATGTATGTATTAGCAGAATCTTACAGTGGGTTTAAGATGTATCGCTTGATGCAAATTACACCCACATTTAGTTTTTTTTATTAGTACATCATACAGTGCATTGATATCTTTTATGCAACACCACATTTACTAACTAGTTACTCAGCTTTATGCCCAGTTTCACAAGTGCTGAAAAACCAACTATATTCATTTATTGTGTTTTTCTCTTTAGTAGCTATAGTAGGAGAAAATCATAAGTGGCAACACTGGCTGGCAACAGAAACACTTCAACAGTGTCCTAACCTAATAAATAATAGTATGTAGCAAGAAACTAAAAGTCCTTTACATGAGTTTGTCAGTAAATGTATATGATAAAGTTACATGAGTTTGTCACAGAAAATGTTATTCATTGATATTCTCTTTCTGTTGTGTTAATCTCTCTCTCTCTCTCTCTCTCTCTCTCTCTCTCTCTCTCTCTCTCTCTCTCTCTCTCTCTCTCTCTCTCGTTGATTTTTCTCTCTATTTTGTTCCACTGTATTTTTGGGGGCTTTGAAATTGCCACATAGTCCAGCCATATGGACATCTCTAGTGCTCAGTCAGGACAACAGAGCAACTATCCTGAAGTGTCTATCAAAATGAGCTGTGTAGATCTATAGTAATAATGTAAATGAACCTAATGCTGCTACGTAATTAAAGCCCCTTCATTGGAACACCATAATTTTCCCATCAGGCAAAGTTTCAAGCGTAATGCATCTATCAACGCAGTTGCTCCAAACATCTGTATAAAGCTAGTTGTACGTTAGTTAGCTGATGAAAAAGAATCACTACTACCTAAGTGCACTCTGGCCGACCTTTGTGCTTCCAGTCGCAGCACAAGTCCTCCCTAGATCTCTGAATCCTCTGAACTATGAGGTAATTGACTAGTCAGAATATGAGTATTGCTACATGAAGGTTAACACTGCTAGTTTTTGAATTGATGTCATACAACTCTGTGGTGCTGCCAAGCAGTATTTACCCCTTTGCCTAATCACTGTCATTATACAATAGCTGTATGGTAGTACAGGCATGCTTCGTCTAAAGTATTTACTAATTTAAAAAAATTATAAACGTGTTCATTATAATTTGAAAAATGTCCAGTGATGTTGGAAGCAGCCATGATTGTGCACACTAAGAAAACGTCCTAGACAGGCCTTGAACCCATGACCTGTAGATGAAAACTAATCACTACACAGTTCTGCTTTCCAGTTTTGAGTATAACTGTCACTACACAATGACTAGTGGCTGGAACATTTGGAAAGAGCTAGTGCCAGTCAGAGCAGAGAATACTACTGTCTCATTAGATTGCAATCAGAGCTCAGGATAATACTAGCCAAACAGATTTCAGGCTTAAACCAGCCAACCAGAGCAGATCTCTTTCTCCTGTTTCTGTGAGAACATCTAACAGGGCCTTTAGGCCAGGAGTGTCCAGTCTTATCCGCAAAAGGCTGGTGTGGCTGCCGGTTTTCATTCCAGCAAAGCAGGATCGGGTGATGAAGACTAAGACCAGCTGATTAATTAAGTAAAATCAAATGAGCTGCTTGTTTGAAATGAAAAACTGTAGCCACATCGAAATTTTGCAGATGAGATTGGACACCCCTGCTCTAGACCTTCAGATAAGGCTCAGTGATTTCCATGAAAGAAAACAATGCATGTTGTTATTTGTGAGTTTTTTTAAAGAATCGTCAGGCTTGTTGTATTTAAACAGTACAATTATTATTTCATTGTTAAGTTTTGGTCAACTTAAAGGAATTTCAGTTTCCTCCTTTTCTTTCATTTATTTATTTATTTATTCATTCATTCGTTCATTCAGTCCAGACAAGCCTGTGTAAATGGAGTGTTGGCAGCACTTAAACTGCCTCTAATGTAAATTGTTGCATAGCCTATTTCCGGTTCATCATTCTTTGCCAAGGTCAGGCTTAACTGCCTGAGCTGGAAATTTCGCTCAACAAGAGTGGCATACGCCAGATCATGTGACGCTTTGAAGTGACAACCCTGGCCACTTGGCACAATCGACACCTGCACCTGTGTAGCACAACTGTTAACTACAAGCATGTTCATGAATTGACAGTGGAATCTACTAATAATGTTTTCATTTACAGTGGCACCAGTTTTTTCAGTCACTGGCAGTGACAACAGCAGCTGCTCTGTGCCACAGCTCTTTACTGCACGAATCTCTGCAGAACTGCTGGATTCAAGGTAAAATGTATGTCATTGTCTATTCCAGGCCTCAAATGAAACCTGGAATGTCTTTTACAGGCCTCAAATGAAACCTGGAACGTCTTTTACAGGCCTCAAATGAAACCTGGAACGTCTTTTACAGGCCTCAAATGTACTTGCGTAATCAAAAAACTTGATCCACTGTAAGATTAGTGTTAACATGGTCTAGGTTTCCATGTGGTAGAGATTAGCAGTACGGTAGAGATGTTTTTTCACTTGTTTTTGACAGTTTTGACATTTATGACTGAACTGAAGGCCTAGCTCCGATAGTCCCGTTCGCCACTGCTAATCAGATTGTCTTATATCACAGCATTTCTGCAGTTATGTACTTAACTTTCCGATCATAAAGTATAATTTGAAAGTTTAGAAATCTCTGGTTTTTCCCCTTTAAAGTGTGAATTCAAATGTTGAGCTGTAGTTTCCCTTTGTTTCCTTTCAGAAGTGAACATAATTTCATTCAAGTGAGAGATTCATAATATTACTCATAGCTTTACATAACAAAGGAGAACAAGCCAACCTGCCTTATGCATATGCTTGCATTTCTGAGACAGGATTAGTTACCTTAGGAACAATAAAATAAAAACACTGAATCAATCATTTTAGTTTTAAAATCAGCAGGCCACAGTTTGTGGTCATTTCTACTCTTTCTGCTATTTCTATTCTAAATTAACAGACATAATGTGAGAAATAATATGGGAGAATAAACTTTTATTCATTTGTTTAATATGATTATGGAATAAACATATGTACAATATGAAAGCTCTGAAAGTTCCTTTATGCACATTCCGTTTCCATTTCTCTGCTCTAATTTGATTTTTTTTTTTAGGTTATACTTGTGTATTTATGAAGAAAGTTGTTTTCTTAGTTCTACTTTAGTCCTGTACATGTAGCTCCTAATTTCTTTTTTTGTGTTTAAATGCATTCTGCTCTTTTGGTTGGGCACCTACACGGTTTTACTTTTATGAAATTCGCATCTCATTTTAGGCCGAAGGTCTTAAAAATAGAGAAATAAAAAACTTCCTGTGTGGATAGATGCCAGGTGTACTGATAGACTGTAATAATGCATAGTAGTGAACAGAGCACTGTAATGAGATGCAGCTGCTTGAGTTATCTAACATTATTAGGAGCTTTCTTTGCCTAGGCTACACCCCTTTTTGCTGTACTAGCATGACGTTAAATCTGGCAGGTCGATATTTTGGAGCCAATAATAGTGTGCCAGCATTTCCGATCTGGCTTTCACTCTCTCCCATCCTGAAATACTAGGAATACTTCCTTAAACCTACTAGCTTTAGAGTTTTTCACTTTTGATCAGCTGCTACATGAATCAGAGCCAGCCGGTGAGTACTGAACCAACACCTAACCACTGAAACCACTGGACATATTTGCATAACTCGCTTTCAGCACTTTGTCAGTAAAAACTTTACAATATTTTCATTAAGACTTTGCATACAATTGTATAGTTCACTTTAACTTTTAAAGTATGTATAATTGTATAAACTCAAATAAAAATACGTAAACCCAAATAAAAGATTTTATTACTTGTTCCTGCTAGGAACAGTTTCCAAGCTACTAGCATCTGGTCAATAGCCATAACAATTAAACTGACCATTGAAGCAAGCAGCTGGTGCTGCCTTTCAGTGACAAGAAGGTAATGGATGCATGTAATGTATATGTATTGTT